ATACCTTTTAGAAAAGGTAACAGCCAATTTATGTTTAATTTCTATGTCTTTTTAAATAAATATTTCTGAGTTCTGCCCAGAACCCATTTCCTGTGCTTGTATATAATTCAGGGGAGTGATACAACGTTATTAAGGAAATATGGGTAAAGGGGGGTAAATATGGCAAGTCGTTCTGGTAAGGGCATGTACGCGTAAATACGGGTAAATTCAACTAAATGTCAGAAATACCACGCTCGGTAAATCTCGGTAAATACCTGAAATGAGAAATACCCTTTATGGTAAATCTCGGTAAATGCCTGAAATGCATGTGAAAAATACCCCATATGGTAAATCTCGGTAAATATATGTGAGAAATACCGCATACGGTAAATCTCGCTAAATAAGTATTTACACGAAACCGGTAAATGTGGGTAAATAAGGCAAACATTACCACCTATATCATGTAGGTAAATACCTGGTAAATTTGCACATTTACCGACGGGTAAATGTTGGTAAATCACTGATAAATGTAACCTTTACCCGGCTTTACATCACATTTACCTTGGTGGTAAATCCCACTTTTCGTGCAGTGTGAGCCTTTGGTGGTAGCATGCAAATGCTACACATGGCTTCTCATTGTATATACTGTTTCATATTAAAAAGTCATTATTATTCTATCATGTTTTGTTACTGTTGCTACCTTTCAGTTAGGTATATGGTTGATTGATTTAAGTTACTATGTTTATGTTTGGAATTATGATTAGCATTATTGTGTTGTTATATTCATCATTTATGTTAATTATATCTTTGTCAATTTTGTTGGCACCTTTGTTGTCTACGTACAAACTCGAATTATGTTACCATTATTTTTTTGTTGACCTCTGTATTTCAATTGTATGAATGTTTGTTATTCATATTTATTTGACTATGTTGTGTTGTATAGACACCAAGAAGAATAGTGTCAATACAGTAGTGGAGACCAAAATAAAACAAACTAAAGTTAATTTGCAGCACGTTCAATCGCGCGTATGCATGTGACTTTTGTGTATCAGACAGCATAAGACGTAACATACATAACATAGGGTCCTTATTGTACTCTGTGTCACGTTAACATGGTGCGTTATGATGCATTATTATCACGTTTAGGATTTACAAACTATACGTTAACGTAATGCGTTATGCGTTATGATAACTTGCTTGACTTTCGTACGTTACCATAACGTATACATAGAACATAAATTAGCGTCAATATAACATTTTGATATATGTACCCCAAGAACGTGACGCAGAGATGCCCAAACCTATCAATATGAAGGGTTGTTAAAGAAAATCTTAAGTTAAACATAAACATGGTAGGAACACAGACGCAGACGTGTCACAATCTTCGCCCGCAAGCAGACACATTAATTATAAAACACAGACCTGTGTCCCGGTAGTCGACACAATCCGCGCAGTCACAGTGATCTGCCGTGTTCCCACACCAGTTATTAGGAGAGCAGCACGGGTAGATACTGTCAGGGTCACACTCAGCGGTCCTCCCGTCTGCTGTAGTGTACCCGGCTCCACAGCGGAGATCCTCGCGCCATTTCTGAGTAGCTACTTAAGAAAAGATCAACAACCAATAGCAAACACACGAGGAGCAGTTAGTTTTTCTCAGATATCGGGAAAGTGAATCATGTCCAATGATATTCACCTTTACAACAACAACAACTTTACTACCACAAGCATAAAATCCATTAATCACTATATCATAATGATATTACAGCATTTTCACATTACACATAGGCAAATGGAGCCTTTGCATACTTAGTATATTTCTTATGATAATGGCTAGGGCTTATATACGTTAAGTTAACGGAATCAGAACAACGTGTAGACAGGGTTCTAGCTATAGCCAGCCTGATTCTCTTGCCGAAAAATTACACAAAAGTTTCAGATTGATTTTGAGGTAAAAGTGGACCTTGGTTGAATCGGCAAAAAAGAATAAAAAATTGTAGCACAAAACTTGTTGACGTCTCTACTACTCACGACAGATATTAAGGGTAATTCAGGCCAACAATAAAACATTATGAACACAGGAGCCGTTAGCGATCTGTATTCTGTACACAAAATATTGAGGAACTAGAAAGGTTCGGGAGCAAATGCAGCAAATGGCTTCACCACATCCCCCGTACTAAAAATGGACCAGTCCACACAGCCCTGTCCAATAATTAATTTGAAAAAAAAAAAACGCGTTCATAAGTTCCTGGGTACATGTTATAAGCTGCAGATTAAAATGTTGACCTGTGTCTCGTAACACAACCTGGAACGCTAAGTCTAACTATACATAACAAACAACATATAAGAACATACAATAAAATGCCCGGAGGTATAAAATGTCAGATTTTACTTGTTTAAAATGCGATTGGAGTGTTTAGCTCATCATATAGGGCCACTTGAATCCTCTTTCGGTGGGAACCACATGCAATGCGCTTTCACTTATTTCATCTGAACAGGGCTATAGTCGCCGAGCCTCGGCCGTATGTCTTGATCTGAAGGTCGACAAATTTTGTCGGCCGATGGTTTTTCTTCTGTGTGAAAGGGTATTACAAAATGTTTGACGAAAGTGGACGTGGCTACACCATCGGTGTATTGACGGGTAGATTCCAACGATATCACATACCTAAGTAATCTCCAAGCAGATCGTAGGGTGGCAAAGACAGTATGAAATTGGACAGACAGCATCCATTCGCCAGGTAGACCCTCTCTGGCCAATTTCATACTGTCTTTTGCACCCTAGGATCTGCTTGGAGAGTGATACCTGAAGCTACGTTTCTTCTATGCTTTCAGTTTGACAAGTCATGTGCAAAATACGGTGGACCGGTGTCCAGTCTACTGCGGAATAAGAATATTCTATTTGCACTTATTGTAATTTTGTAATAGTTTATTACCTTCGCCAAGAAGGTTATGTTTTCAGTAGCGTTTGTCCGTCTGTGAACAGCATAACTCAAGAAGCTTAGTATGCATTGTCATGAAACTTGGTAGGTGGGTAGGTCTTGATAAGACCTAGAAATGATTAGATTTTGGGCCCCCTGGCGGCTTTTGTTGGTACTGCAGCAGAACTTCCGGTTTTGATATCTCGCAATCTGGACATGTCAGGGTCACGAATTTTAGTTGGTAGATAGCTCTTGGGGTAGGGAAGAAGTGACATAAGTTTGGCCCCCCTAGCGCCTTGTTCTGCAACTGCAGGAGCATTTGTTGAAAAATTTTCGAAGGATGATAACTCAAGAACCGGTGGACGGATTGTCATGATTTTTGGTATGTAGGTAGCTGAAGTGATACTTGACACAATCAAATGACAGTTATGCAAATAAGGAGCTAATTTGCATAATTAATGAGGAAATTCTATAAATCTGCTTCGTTCGATAATAGGACTATGAAACACGTGTGACATGTAATAGAGGAAGAAAAAAACATCTGAGGATATAGATTATGTAAATGAAGACCTAATTTGCATAATTAATGAGAATATTTTATAATTTCATAGTTGTAACTTCTGGGAATTTCATACTTGCCACATTTGGAAGTTAAGTGAAGGCGAACATAAATAAACATAATTTATTCAAATCATGACCTCATTTGCATAATTTATGAGAAAGTGCTATAATAGCCTTTTTGTGAAGATAAGGTTGTCATTGGGTGGAAAATATGATCAACTGATATAATCCATGCTAATGAGGCTCTTACTTTCAAAATCAATGATTAAAATTGTATGATTCTTCAACCGCAAGGGTTAACATCATTTGGCGAAGGTATGAGATCGTGGAACTCTTGTTTATGCAATGTGATTTTTGCAATAGTCCATATTTACATTGGGAATAGATTTTGGGGTTGAGATATTCATTGTGATGTCATCTGACCTTAAATTTTCTGCCATGAAATGCCAAAATACTAACTTTAGAGCATTGACTATTTTCTAGCATGGCTTTATGCGTAGTTTAATGCATTGAAGTGACACAAATGTTAGGCAGTCTGAACATGGGGAGAACATTTGAAATTTGACCAAATGTTGACATTCAGGTCTTCATATTCCTAGGGGCGTATTTCACCCAAAATTGCATTTCCCCCCAAAATGTTACCTCCCCTATGACAGTATTACGTTTCCAACCTGTCACAATCTTCGCCCGCATGGAGATGTGCTCATGCCATGTTTGCGGATGGATTTTGACGAAGCGCGCAGTTATGCGGCCACTGAAGTCTCTGAAGTCGTTGTAGACCTCCGTGTCTCTGTCGTCATTCGCCGGAAAAACCTGCAGCGTAATTATAAAGACATTGTCTATATGCCAAAAAGATCAAGCCCTATTTGGAAACAGCCACATCCACACTTTGAGAAGTTCAACTTTATTGCAAGACAAAGTATCCTGGCAAAAGGAAACGGACCAATGAACATAGAAAAGTTACATGCTATAACTTATCTTTCTTATTACTAAAACAACAAGGGCTAGCATAAGTCTGTGATATAGTGTTACAATCAATATAATTGAGGCTAATCATGATATAAAGATGTATTGAAATCTATCTGTAGCATCGATTCTCTTCAAATCTGTTGTCATAGACTAAAGAAATGTGAATAGCTGACGCAAAACATCACATCTAGAGCATCCCATGACAAAGTGAAATTAATATTCAATTTGCTTTCGACAAAATGGGCAAAGTCATGGGCTACATTATAGTATCTGCCTGTTTCCATATTCACTTTAGGAATACGATTTTAACATGCAAATATCTTAGTAGATAGCTATTTAAATAAAAGGAGGAATGATTCTTACTGTAACTTGTCCATCAGCATCGGTGTAGAAAGTCTCATCACCGATTTCATTGCCGTATGAAATGGTGTAGGATGTGACGTATTGGTCATGTTTGTCCCATGGCCAATCAGGGCTGTAGTTCCTGCCTTTGGTGATGACGCCGGTGATGACGCTTACGTCACCAAGATCCCTCATCAGCCATTGGTCCTGGTCATTGGTTGCTGCTGCCCATGCGCCTGCTGCATCTGCAGTCTCGCGAGAGTTGATATCTGCGCGGGCAGCTGAGTGAAGTGAATCAAACTCCGAGGATGCTGACCAGGATGGAGGTTCTAAAACAAAGAAAATCGTGACGTTTGTTAAAGAAATATAAGGCCAGAGCTATAGTTAATGTGACTATCAGCTTTATAGCTTATGCACATATTTCAGACTGGTTTATTCAGCAAAGAAGAACATAGGAACAGTAACAAGGTTCCTGGCAGCCACGTAGGTACGTTCTTCTGGGGTGAAAATGGCAGAACCGTATGTACGTAAGGTATCCGATGGAGACTGAGAAAACGAGCGCGCTAACCTGTGCTGATTCCGGCTCTCATAGACACCCAGCCATGCCAGGTCAGCGGATGGATCTTAACATACCGCGCGGTGAAGGGGCCGCTAAACTCAGACAGGTCCTGGCGCACCTTGGAATCACGGTCAGTGTTCGCTTTGAAGACCTTATTTATAGGATAATGATAAGGGTGCAAAAAAGTAAGAAATTATCATTTCTTAAATAATAATTTTAATGTGAAATTGTAATATTTTCTTTAAAATGCTTGTAACTTAATTGCAGACACATAAGCCTCCTTTTCCAAAGTGCATATAATGTAAATGAGGCGGTTGGTTGACACTCAAACCGTTCGATTTTGAGGTTCCTTCCTCCAAGCAAAAACAAGGGCTTACAATAGCTTGTCCGTCGTCCCCAGTGTACCACGCTTCGTCTCCATTCTCGTTCCCGTAGGAGATGCTGTAGGAGGTGACCCACTCCGAGTGGCTCTCGCCTGGCCAGTCAGGGCTGTAGCTCCGGCCTTGTGTGACCAGGGTTGTCACTGTCTTCGGACGTCCGAGGTCGAACCTCAGCCATGGTTTCTGTGCTGACCAGGCCCCTGCAGATGTAGCCGTTTCCTGCAGGCCCAGTCTGGAATTTTTGGCGAGAAAACCAGGCCCACGCTCGGAAGATGCCATTACTGACACTTAAGAAACAAGAAAAAGCAAATATGTGAAAAATTTAGTGGTTTTTAAAGCTAGTGGCGTTTACTAAACATTCAAGTCTTTGTTATAGAATGTTAAATATTGCCGAATAAGGATGTTGGATGTATACCTATCTCCAACACAAACATGAGGAAAGGTGTTTTTCTATCTTTTTAAATCATCACTGACCGAGGAATAACAGATTTATACGCCAACTGATGAACCCCATTAACT